TTAGGGATGCCTAAAATTTCTGGTCTCAGAGAGTTTTTTTAATCACTGTAAATCATAAGTCATTACTGAGTCCTGAAATCACTTACTAAGTTGTGAAGAGGTTTTTTTGATGAAAGAATAGAACAGATTAGATTAGGATGGAGCAGTACATACACGAAGGGTAAGCTTTGCTTCGTCCAGTTTTCCTAGATACATATGTCTCCAGGCATGTTCTGTGCCATGATGTAAACGTGTTTCTTACTACATGTAGAGGAGAAACCTCTGCTCTGTGGAGACACGGAGAGGAGGATGTGCCTGCCATTCACTTGCTCCCCGGTGACCTGGCAGGTGAGGTGCGGGGCTGCAATGGTCAGGGATTTCTGAACCTCCTTCTAGTCCAGGCATCCTCCCTGCTGTGGTGGGGACCCAGGACCTGGTGGGTTGGCTGACTCCAACATGGGGAGACTCTCAAGCAGTACCTGCCACAGGGATCGATTTCATGAAAATTCCTGTGTCCAGCATGGGGAGCAACCTTGGGAGTGGTCAGTCCCAGGGGCAGGCACTGTTGGGCTGGTTTTTATTATCCCTTTTTTCCAGGTGTAGCAGTTAAGTGACACCCATGACAACAGCACTTTAGAGCTGGATCTCCGCTCTTCCCACTGCCGGTACTGCCTATTTGATGACTCTCATGTCAGGTCCTGCCATTTCCAGAATCCAGGGCAAGATGTTCCTGGGAAATGTGAAGGGGAAGAGCAAGTGAATACATGAATAAGTGAAGGCTGGAAGAGCCTGGTGCTGGGCTAGTGCTCCCTCCCTGATTCTCTAACAGCGATTCTCAACCAGGGGTGATTTTGCCCAGAGACCTAGGCAGCGCCAGTGATATGGGGCCTTAGAAAGTCTATTGGGAGCCCCTGTGCCAGGTGCATGGCATGGGGTCCACTTGCAGATGAGAAAGGCTCTCACATGCCATGTCCCTTGAGCATGGTTGTACTCAGCAACCATGGCTAAAGGGCACAGAGCAGCACTAGGACCTGTGCCCAGATCCCAGGGGGACCCACCATTTGCATGGCCCCTGTGCTCCTGAAGGAGCCGTGTGTCCATCCTCCAGCAGCTGCCCTGGCTGGCCTGGCAGTCAGGGTGGCCCTGCAGTTTGGATTGGTTACAACAAAGAGGTGCAAGGGTCAGAAGGATGAGCAGCAGAACCATGGCTGCCAGGCTGACCCTGCTTTCTCCCAAAATCTCTGCCCCTCAGGCAACTGCTCCTGGGCAGTAGAGCAGGACTGGCACTCACCTAGCCCTGGGAGAGGAAGATGGGGTGAACAGAGTTGTTTGTGATCACACATTCTCCCTTCCAGATCTTTCCTGCTCCTACTTTTACCTGTGATGCTGGCATGGCTGCTCCTATAAAGCACCTCTGAGCTCACCAGGAGAAGCCAAGGGTCTTTTGCTCAGGGAACATCTGGCTGCTGAGGCTGGGCCCCTTGAGGCCTGCAGAGAACACATGAGAGAGTGTCATGGAGCAGCTGGCAGTGCCAGGCCTGAGCTCCTTCCTGGTGGAAGGGACTGTCCAGCGACTGTGTCTGGCTGAGTCTAGCCCATCTGGCCACCAGGAGCTCTAAGGAGTGATCCTCCATAATGCTCCACCTCCAGAAGTGGTCAGAAACTTCGCGAAGAGGTGCTGCTGACAGCTCGCAGGTTAGCCTTTGTGGAGTGAGACTCTACCTAAGTCTAAGCAGCACAAGTTCCAGAGCCTGCTGGGATTCAGAGGCACACCAGAGCCCCCTGCACCCCGCAAGGCCCACTGAGCACACCTCGTCCCAACTCTGCTTGGGATGTCAGGGGAGCAGCAAGAAATCAGTCAGTGCTACAAATCCAGTGCTTTTTGCCCCAGAGAGCTGGTTATTAAGCATTGCTTGGCCTGCCCTGGTCATCAGGGAACAGGAACCAGGAGGGGACAGGTTGTGGGAGACTGCTTGAATCCAGCCCGATTCTCCTCCTGTCTTCTTTTCTCCTGTGACTTCTTGTTTCTCCTGCCATAGGATTCTTCCCTGGGTCTGTGATACCAGGTGTTGGGCACCCTCACGTCCTGGGTTAGATCAAGCCCAGCCTTCCCTGTGCCTGGTTCCCTGGCCTCTAACTGCAGGCACAGCCCTGGGTCTCAGCAGCATGTGGAAGTTTCCGGGGAATGACCCATCCAGGCACGGAAGACTGGCTACCCAAGCCAGAAGTCAACTTCAGGCTGGGCTGAGGTCACAGAGAAAGCATCTCTCCTCCAGTCTGTCCCCAGAGGGCAGCAGCCCCTGCTACCCATGCTCACATCCAGTTCTGTGGGTCTGGCAAGCCCAGGCAAGCTGGTTTCTTCAACCACAACCCCTGGGGCATACTTGACTTCTACCTGCTACAGGATTTAGAGGCCCCTGCACGTGTAATGTGGTTGTAGAAGATTCAGATTCCCAGCAGGCCAACACTGCCATCATGGCACCCAAACACATCATGTTCCTGGGGCTGGACAAAGCCAAACTTGTTATCTTCCAGGGCACAGTGGCATCAGAGTCAGTTTGAGAGCCTTTGGCTTTCCCAGTCTACAACCTGAGTTTGAGTCCAGTCAAGCCAGGCCAGGCTGCAGGCTGACACCCCTCTCCCATGTGCCAAATATCAGGCTAGTGGAGCCAAAATGGCCAGGCCAGATGTACAATGACCCTTATGCAAATCAAATCTCTGCTTTACACTCGTAAGAGGCACTGCCCAGTGGAAGTCAATCTAAGGCAATCAGAGGTAATTGCGCTTTTACAAAGCAATAACCTCCCAGGATCCATCCAATTCCACAAGGAGAGGGCCCAGGTCAGCCCTGCACATGGCTATATCTCCAGCACCAAAACAGGTGACATGAAGCAGGTGTTCAATGAGTAGTTGTTGAATGGATCAATACAAAAATGAGCTTCAAGTCATGCTTATGAGATCCTACGCTTTCTTCTAGGAGTCTAAATGAACTTATAATTTCTGATTTCCAAAAGTCACAAGGGGTTACAAAGACACAGCAAGTGCCACATGGGAGGAGCTGAGGAGGCATCATCCTGGAACCAGAGAGCAGGGCACTGAGGCTGAGGACTGGGTGAGGCCCCACCCAGCACTCCCAGGCTTTAAACAGGGGACCAATGATTGACCAGCCAGTTACAGCTCAGTTTCACCAGCTGTAAGATGATGAGGGGAGCCTATCATGCGGAGTGTTATCAAGGAATAAGTGAGCACAGGCAGGTGCAGGGGTCAACCTGCTGCTTCACAGACACTCAACACGTGTCTGCTGCCCTCACCTGAAGGACCTCGACTGAGGAAGTAAATTTTGCCATTTCATTGTTGGCTGCTATGGGCTGAATGTGTGTGCTTCAAAATTCACTGAGATTACCCCAGTGGAATGGTGTTAGGAGGTAGGGCCTATGGGAAGTAATTAGGTCATGAGGGTGGGGTCCCTTGTGATGGGATCAGTGCCCTTATAAGAAGAGACACAAGAGGGCTTGCTTATACATGTGCACGCTCACTCTCTCTCCCTGACGTATGAGAATACAACAAGAAAATGTCCATTTACAATCCAAGAAGAGGGCCCTCACCAGAAACCAGGTCTGCCAGTGCCTCGATCTTGGACTTTCCAGCCTCCAGAACTGTGAGGAGCAAATGTCTATTTTAAGCCTCCCAGCCTATGATATTTTAGTTCAAGCTAAGACATTCTCCTCATAAAGCATAGACCATAGACAAGGACATTCCCCTCTAAAGCAAGAGGGCTGTTAGAATTGCACAGAAAGGTCAAGAGCTTGGCCCAAAACTGACCAGCAAGTTGAAGGTTCAGAGCAAGGCACCCTGTGGCATGGGGTGGCGGAGGCTGTGTGTGCTGTGCATCTGCGGGTGGAGGACCATCTGTGAGCATGGCTCCAGGCTGTGCATAGACAGGGAGGAGCTGTCACACTTCACTCCACTGAACTGCTCCTCAGACATGCCTGAGTCGATGGCTCAGAAAACCAACCCAGAAAAAAGAGCAAGAGGAATCAATTCCAATTTGTTAGAGCCTTCTGGGTGTGATAAAGCCAACCCCTGCCATCTCCACTGTCTTCCTGTTTCCCCTTCTCTAAGAAGTGAAAGCACCATTCAATTAAGGTAATTAAATTCACCCGAAGATCTTGGGCTCAGAAACCACACTACCAGCAAGTGGTCAAACCTAGCAACGAAGCAAACCCCAATGGCTTCCTGTGGAAAGATGGGCAGGGATGAGGAGGAAAATGGAACATATCTTCAGTAGCTCAAGGGTGCACCTTGGGCCTGCAGGGGAGCCCCCAGCTCTGCAGAGTCCAGCTGCCTGAGCCTCCCGCAGCACCAGAGCCCTCCCCAAACAGGAAGGACTCATGTTTACAGGCTGAATCAAAAGTTTCACTTCTGTGGATGTCTGGGAGAACTCAGCCAAGAAGATCCTTAGGACATATCATAAAAGTGAAATGAAACCCTCGTTTTCTCCCCCAGAGCCACCAATTCTCCCATGAGCCAAGAGTGGGGCTGGCACCACCTCCCAGGACATGCCTATGGGAGCCTGAGTCCACAGGCCAGAGGTTCAGGGTTTCATCCTGGAGAAAGCAGAAGGTGGTAAGGTGGTGAGCCCAGGCTGACTCTCATCTCCAGTTCTTCCCTGTCTTTACATGCTGTGTGGCACTTAGCAACATTGTGCCTTTGTTTCTCAACCTAGAAGATGGTGACAACAAGGCCCACTCAACCTGCCTCAGAGGAGTCATGGGAATCAAACAAGATCACGATGCTGAAGTGTGTCATGAACTACAGGGTGATGCATACACTTGAGCCATGACCGTCACTGTGTCATCCCAGTATTGACTCACCGCATCGACTTCCTCTGATTTGTGATCCACTTTGAGTGCTAAAAGTTGGTGAGACCCTCATGTAGCCAGATGATGATGATGATGATGATGATGATGATGATGATGATGATGAAGTCATCCAGTGGAATTTGAATTTCAGATAATGAATAATTTTGTTAGTATGAATGTATCCCACATATTGCATGGGATACACTTACACTAAAAAAGTATTTATTGTTTATTTGAAATTCACATTTCACTGGGTGTCCTGTATTTTTAATTTGCTCAATCTAGCAGCCTGGCCATGCCAGACCACCAACTGTTCCCTCTGTGCAGTGTCCCCAGGACCACCAAGACCTGGCCCCAAGCCCACTCCGTCACCAGCTGTGAGACACGGAATATCCGGGTCCTCCCTCTGAGGGCTGTTTGTCTCACCTCATGGGTGATTGTGGTCCTAAGCTGGGCCCTCCAGCATCACCAAATGGGGCTCTGGTCCTGTGGACCTGACACGCTCCTCAGTTATGTGGGGGACACCTGCAATAGGGCTTGACATGTAGGAGTTGTGAGTCTTCTCTCCTTACACTTCCTGTCCTTACAACCTGGGACACATGAGGGTCCAGGGTAGATCAGCAGAAGGTGGACTGCATGACCTTCTCAGGCCTGGGTTGGCTGCCAGCCAGAAGCCCTGAGGAAGACAAGGGGAACATGGACCTCTGTCCCTCTGCACACCACAGTAAACCTCTGTCATCAGATCCCAGGGTCCAAGATGTGCACTCAGCAACCAGAGCTGAAAACATTTCCCAGTGACCAGGGTGCACCAGGCACGCTGTAGGTAAAAGATGAACCAAGTCAGGGACCTCACACCAAGGATCTCAAAGTCTAGTGGGAGAGATAGATTCACCTCAGTGCAGGAAGAATAAAGCAATGTAAGTGATAAAAAGGGAAGAAAAGATTCTACGAGGAACAGAACAGAGGAGGAAGTTGTCAGCAGTTGCGGCCGAGGACAGGGAGAGATGTTCCAGGCACAGGGACTACTACTTGAGGAATCCGGTCCAGGACACATGGGCCCTGCCCCTCCCTGGCACAGGGCACCACAGGCCTGAAGGAAGACGGGTGTGGGAGCAGGCAGAGCTCCCCTGCCAACAGGGACTTGAAGGTCATGCATAGGCATTTGTAAAGGATTAGGAGGGAGAGAGAATTGTATCCGCAAAAAGCAGCACATCCCAGTCAATAATAAAAGCATCATGAGGCGTGGCATGGAAAAAAAGCATCATGTGAGAAAACATTTTGGAAGAGTTGGAATTTAGCAATGACTGTGCAAAGGGTATTTCAGTGCTCATCTCACGGAAAAGCTGATTCATGAGGATACATGCTCAAATTGAGTTTGTTTGAAGTATTCTGATTCAAAAAGATGACCCTACAATAAGGAGAAGAAAATACACATCCTTAAGTGTAATTCTTGGGGCTCCAAGGCTGCAGGGCACCACCAGTTCACCCATGCGCATATTCACAGTGGGCATGGCAGACCCTTTGCTCTTCTCCAGGGGATCAACTGGAGAGTCCATTTTTAAATTCCTGCCGGGGGATCCTGTTTCCCCTAGTGTGCTCTGGTGTTTTGCAGAACCTTCTCCACCTGATGCAAGTTTGGCCTGGGTCGGTGGAGGAAGTGCTGTTGAGTCCTGCACAGTTGCCTGGAGGTAGAGGGCAAAGCCAGCATTTCATCCGCTGACCCTGTAATTTAGATAAGGCATCACTTAATGACCATTCACACTGTGGCTGTAAACAGAGCCCCGGGTAATATACTCAACATTACGTGGAAGTTTGCTGGACGCTGGCCCGCCAGAAGGCATCAAAGCCACTCCCCAACTTAGAGCACTGAGAGCAGTGTGAGAGACCAACTGGGAAATGGCAAAGTCACGATGAAGTCTCTTTTCATCTCCCCCTGATAGAAATGCAATCCAGACATAAACAGTACATGCCACGCTGCTGAGGGATGCCTTCCCCAGAGCCAGCCTGTCAATAGTCTCCAAGAACAATCCTGTCCACCTGTTTCCATTTCTTACCATGGGGGAATTTTACATATTTGAGGGATGTGGAATCAAAAAGTAAATAAAATCCACTTGGATTCAAATTCACTAATTTGAAATTTGTGATAATTCTGCGATTATTGGATTATAATTGACTGTCAATAAAGTAAGTCCTCCTAAGCCTGTCAACAGTGTGAGTAATATCATGACAAGTGGAAGGGTTTTCTCATTTATTTAACAGATATTGCTTGCACTGTACACTGTGCTACATGAAAAAGAAACACAAACGTGGACCCTGCCACCAATAAGCACTCAGGCTAGCAGGAGGGACAAACATTAAACAACAAATCACCCAGTTAAATGCTTAATTATAATTATGGTAAGTGCTGCAAAATAATGGGTATAGCTTACGATAAAGGGGTGTAATGAGCAGACTTGGAATAGCCTGAGGAAGCTGCATCATCAAAGGGACATGTGAACTGGGCTCTGAAGCACATGTTGGAGTTAACCCGGTAATGATGAAAGGATGGAAGTAAAAAAGTCCAGGCAGAGGGAACACCACGTGTAGAAGCCCTGAGGCAGGAAGTAGGATGGCATAAAACTGGAAAAAGACCAGGGTGGCTGGAAAGTCAAGCATGAGGGGAAAGATGGCACAAGGTGTGGATGGAAAGAGAGGATCTGAGTTAAGGAGATTGATATTCATTCCTTAAAACTGGAAAGTCATCAAGGGATTCTAAGCAAGAGGTTGATATGAACAAGTTTGAGTGTTGAAAGCTGCCTCTTGGTGCAGGGCAGGAATGGGCTGCTGCAGTGGCCGAGGGATTTGAGACAGCAACTTGGTCCACACAGTGACTGTGGAGATGGAGACTGGTGTGTAAGGAAGAGACCTTCGGAAATGAAACTCATGGGACTAGGAAATGGATGTCATAGGTGAAGGCACAGGAGGAGGAAATCGAAAGTGACATCAGGTTTCTGAGGTCCCCAGGGAGAAAGTGGGCTTGCAGAAGACTCATGGACTCTGCTTTAAAAGTGTGGGTTGGAAGGGCTGTGATACAGGGGCACCCAGCTGCCTGGTGGGTGGGCAGAGGCGTGGACTGTAGCCAGGCAAATGGCCTGGCCTGGACGCAGCCTCAGTGTGTGGATGCTTGCAGGGACCGTGGTGTGGGGACAATCACCTGCATGTAGACTGTACAGTGAGAAGAGAAGAGGCTCCAGGACTGGGAGCAGAGGAAATCCAGCAGTCAAGGAGAGGAAGAGACTAAACATCCAGACAGGGAGGGGAGAAGGAAAGAGTCAAAGTGAGAGAGTATCTCAAGTAGACGGTGGCCATTAGGCTAGATTGCAGTCTAGAAGTTCAGTCAGATGAGGAGCAAAAGTGCCATCAGAAGATCCATCAGGGAGGAGTGGGGGCCAGACACTAAAGGCCGAGTGAGACAGGTAAGGAAATAATGGAGGGGGGAGATAAGAAGCATTTAAGAGAACAGTCTTTGAAGGCCACAGACATAAATAGGAATTGACCAGGTCATGATTAAATATTGATGTTTATTTCTATGCATTCATGACGAGGTTCCAAGACCTTGTTTAGAACATGGCCCTGCCATGTGCACTGTATCCTCCATCATGCTGCCTGAAGGGAACACACCCTTTCACTGGCAAAGTGCTCTACCAGCAAGAATTTTCGCCAATTCAGAGTGGCTTCCTTCAAGTGGTTCAAAGTGGTGAGCAAGAGAGTTTTTCCACTGGCATCTGGAAAATTCATTCCAGCAGCAATGTCAGTGAGTCCATGAGGCAACTGCCTAGGGGGAAAGCCTAAGCACAGGGTGAGGGGTGTCCTAACCATTCACAAAACAAATGCCACTATGTCATTCTGCACCTCCATCTCACCAGTGTGTGACACCAGATGGGTTTCATCCTCATCCCTAAGTCAGATCTCAGTGGAGCTTCAGGCAGGGGAGTGGCCTTATTATTTAGAGATGCAAATGGATCGATCTGAATTTTTTGGAAGACCATAAGACCCAAGACCAGGAGTCTTTCTCAACAAAATTCATATTATCTTTTCCCTTCTTTTCTGTGCCTCAGTTTGCCCTCCAGGAAAAAAAAAATCAGAATAAAGATAACCCAATTCAGAGCATTACCACAAACAGTGATTTAACTTCTATTTATTGAGCTCAGTATACAAAGGTATACAAGACTCCCTTCCTTGGTTCAAGGAACTTCCTTTCTAGTTGAGGAGAGAAAGCAGCGATCATCAGTTCCTGAAACATATGGGTCATGATGTATGAAGTGACAACACGGCTGAGCTTTGGAAAAGGTAAACCCAGTATGCTTTGGGAACATGAAGGAGGCCCATCTAAGCCAGTCTGGGAAGTCAGGGATAGGGCCTCGCCGTATGGGGGTAGACACAGAGCACCTCTGTGATTCTCCAAAGAAATAGACGCCACAAATTCAAGCTATTATGATTATTAATATTATTAATAAACTACCTTGAACTAGATTAATATCCAGGAGCTACAAGCTGGGAAAGGTCTTATGGAAACCCCAAAGGTCCGCATTTAAAGTGTGCAGAGTGGATTTATTTTAATTAGTTCACTCTTCATTCTGAGCATTCTGAAAATCCTCCTGGGCAGCTTTTTGGTTCTTTTAGCTGTCAGAAGTCTCAAGCCTTCTGCCAACAATGAATCCAACACTATGCTGCCACTTGCTGAGTGGACTTGACTTTCACTGCTCCAGTTCTGTTTGCTGCAAAACCCAACTTATCAGTTCAGTGGGAAAAGGGCCTTAGGTCAGATTTTATTAGCAAAAAATAATTCACAACTGGGTCAATCATATTAGAAAACTGAAAAGCTTAAACAGGTTTCTAAAAATGTCTTGGACCATGGACAAATTAATGGATATTAGGAGGGATATAAATTGACCTTATGGTCAAATATGCCTATTTTTGGAATTTTGTTGAGTTCAAGTATGGATTCTTTTTCATTTTTGAAGGCCAATTACATTGTTGTATAACTGTCATTTAAAGATACTTTGGGTCAGGTGTGAAGGTTCACTCCTGTAATCCCAGAACTTTGGGAGGCCAAGGCAGGAAGATCACTTGAGGTCAGGAGTTCGAGGCCAGCCTGGCCAATATGGTGAAACCCTGTCTCTACTAAAAATACAAAACTTAGCTGGGCATGGTGTTGCACACCTGTAATCCCAGTTACTTGGGTGGCTGAGGCACAAGAGTTGCTTGAACCCAGGAGGTAGAGGTTGCAATGGGCCAAAATTATATCACTGCACTCCAGCCTGGGCAATAGAGCAAGACCTTGTCTCAAAAAAATAAAATAAAAGATACTTTTTCCACTCAACTTGTGCTTGGCCCTTTGGTCAGTTGGGTTCCACTGAAATTATTTTTCTTCTTTCTAGATGGGCAGTGATGACACCAAATATAAGCATAAAAAGATGTTTTAAAACTACACATCCTGAAACTCAGCACAGCAGGCACCTGCAGCTTCCAGTACTGTAACAGGTATGGAACTAATCCAAGAGCAGGCATCTAGAAACACCTTTTGTTTTTGGCCATTATGCTGAAAGGTACAATGGGGGCTGGGGGTGGGGGGAGAATGAGGTCAAGTTTCTGACTGTCCCGTCTGACCCCAGGTATATCAAATCAGAATTGAAGAAATTATCTGAATAAAGCTAGCAAGGTGGGAAGGGAGTCTCTCTTTTCCTTGAGGCAGAAGCAATGTAGTTATTTTCTGAATGCTCTGAAAAATCCATGAACATCCTTCACCACTGTTTGGAATGAGGATGTAAACCCAGGATCAGGTAGGGTTCTTCAACCACAAGCAACAGAAGCAGAAACTGAACAAATGAGGTAGAAATGCATATGTATTAAAAGAAAAATGGAGGTCTTGTAGACTCAAGGTGACAGCTAAAGTTCCAGGCTAGGAAATGTCAGGCGTCAGGTATGTCCTTAAGCATAGTGAAAGCTCTACCACCAGCAAGGAAGCCTGAGCATGCTTCCATCCTTGTGTGGCTCCAGGAGAACTGCTACAATCCATGGGCTTGTCCTCGGTCTCACACCTGCTATTGGCCCTGGGGAGCCTCTGCAGGCACCTTGACTTTCAGCCCCACAAAGACTGAAAACCAAGGGGTGAGGAAATTTCCCACAAAGTATCAAGTGCTTTTTCTCAGAGGATGCAAGCTGAGTATTCAAAAACCAAATAGCAAATACCTACTAATACGAGGGTGTGTTTAATTGGTTAGAGGCTTGGTTGACTCTATCTAAGCTTCTAAATTTAGGTGTCCAACTAACCTATTTTCATCTTAATGTAAACTATCTTATTTTCATTCAAAGTGTAGAAACCCCCAATATTACTGAGTTCAGCCATTGCCAAGATCAGAATCCCAGTATTTAGGACATCAGGAGACTCCGGACTGTTTTGATAGGATCTCAGGGTACAGAAAACCTGACTCATAGTGGTCAATGCCACTCAGGTTCCATCAAACCCCACACCAGCCTCAATAACATAAATTCATGTGGGATGGTGCTGCCATGGGCTCACAGCTTAGCAGTGCTGGCCAGGACCTGGGCTCCTCACCTGTCCACCCTGCCATCCTCTGCAGGTTGGCCTTCAGTGGCCATTGCTTGTCTCTCAGGGCTGCAAAGTGAATTCAATGTTACGGTTGAATCATGGCCCCCCTAAAAAAACATCATAACTCTCATTACCTCAGAGTATGACCTTTTGGAAATAAAGCTGTTACAGATGTATTGTACTTAGTTAAGACAAGGTTATTAAGGTGGGCCCTAATCCAGTATGACTGGTGTCCTTATGAAAAGGGAAAATTTGAGCAGGGCGCAGTGGCTTATGACTGTAATCCCAACACTTTGGGAGGCCAAGGTGGGCCAATTACTTGAGCCTGGGAGTTCAAGACAAGTCAGAGCAACATGGTGAAATCCCATTTAAACAAAAAACAGAAAAATTAGCCAGGTAGGGTGTAGTGCACCTGTAGTCCCAGCTGCTTGGTAGGCCGAGGCAGGAAGATCACTTGAGTCCAAAAGGTCGAGGCTGAAGTAAGTTATGATTACACCACTACACTCCAGCCTCGGTGACAGAATGAAAAAAAATTTTTTAATAATTAGAAAATTTTTAAAAGTTTGAAAAAGGAAAACTGTGGACAGAGAGACAAGCATAGAGGGAAGATGATGTGAAGACAGGGAGAAGATGTGTGTCCTAAAGCCAACGAGAAACGCTAGGATCAATTCTTCCTTACAGCCCTCAAAAGGAACCAACCCTGCGACACCTTGATTTTGGACTTCCAGCCTCCAGAACTGTGTGGCAATACATTTTCAATGTTTAAGCCATCGTTTGTTATGGCAGCCCCAGCAAAGAAGTCAAGCAGTTTCTGGCTTCTTGTCTGCATTCAAGGCAGGAAGAAGAGCACTAACAGAGCAGAGACAACAGGAATTGCTCCTTTGATTAGAGAGGCAGGAACTTTCACAGACTGCTGGCTGCTTCCATCCCTGTGATCACAGCCATGTCCTCTGCCCATGCTAACTGCATGGGAGTCTGAAGACCGAGCGTGTGTCTTCTACTGGGGAAGGTGTGAGCTTGGCCAGCCCTCAGAGTCTCCCCTACTCATCACGTGGGTTGATGCTCTCCCCTTGTATGCAGCCTTCTAAAAAGCACATGCTGTCATGAGCGTGTACTTTCCAGGGAGCCAGCAGCCTGCCTTTCAAGGTAGGGCTGAAGAGCATGTGCAGAGAGGCCTTCCCAGAGCAGGTCATTAGCTCCTCATAAGCTCATTCAGTCCACTAGAACTCAGGTCCCATCCTTTCTCCAGCTTAGTTCTGTCTTTCACAGAAACAAGTCAATCAGCCGATGAATCAGCATTGCTAACTTGGAATGTCAAGACATGGAAACAACAGACCCCAATGAAGCCTGGCTTCCAGGATGAAAGACAAACATTACTGACAGCCCAGCGGCTTTGAGCCTATGCCGGGATGCTACTCCCAATCTCCTGGAGCCTTTATCAGATATGCAGTTTGAAAACATTTTCTTCCATTCCGTAGAATACCTTTTCATTTTTGTAATTGTTTCCCTTGCTCTGCAGAAGCTTTTGACTTGATGTAATCCCACTTGTCTATTTTTGTTTGTGTTGCTTGTGAACTCAGCCGTTTTACTCTTAGAGCCTTCAACTAATTAAATGAGGACCACCTGCCTTATAGAAGATAAACTGCTTTACTTAAAGTCTACTGATTTTAGTGTTAATCACATCTTAAAAATACCTTCACAGAAACAGCTAGACTGGTCTACAGTCTAGACGTATAGCAAGCTAGCCAAGTTGACACATAAAATTAACCCTCACAGGCACCATTTTCCACCTGGACCAGCACAGATTCTTGCGTAGAGCTGTATACCCTGTTCACACCCTGCATCTTTTTCTTTTGCAGAGAAAAAAACAAAAATTCCCCACTTTGCAATTGCATCTGTGAATGAGAAGCTCCAGTTTTGTGGGAAGAGGGAAACACCTAAACTTGCCAGAATCATCACCAGAGACACCTGCCGGCTGACGAGGACAGCTTTCTTGGAGCCGACAGATGATGCAGGGAAACAAGAAGTGCACAGATGGGTTCAGTGACTCCTCCAGCATCGGCAGCGTGTTGGATGATGCAGACAGGGAAGTGAGCAGCCTCACAGACCGGGCATTCCGGAGCTTGTGCATCTCAGAGGATACATCCTTCCATGACTCCTATCTGGCCGTGTCCCCAGATATCACCCGACAGGTGTTTGGGACTTTTCACCAGAGAACAGTGAGCCACACCCAGAGGAAAAGTGGCATTTGGAGCCAGTTACCATCACAGGGCACGGAACATTCAGGCTGGGCAGCCACCTTCCGACAGCTACCCAAGTACGTTCAGGGAGAGGAAAAGTACCCCAAAACCAGCCCCCCACCAACGCCAGTCCAGAGGAGACTGGAGGTGCCAGTTTCCGGCCTAAGGAGCAGCAACAAGCCGGTCTCCAAAGTATCAACACTAATTAAATCTTTCGACAGGACCGAGAGCCAACGTTGTGAGAGCAGGCCCACTACCAGCAAGCCTCCGGCTCTGAAAAATCCCCCCAAATTCGCTCCTCTTCCAGAAAGCAGTGTCAACTTCTGCTTTGATTCTGCATTTCTGACAGTCAGGAGGGTGCCCGCTGAAGTTTCCAACACCCACCAGAACAGCCACCAGCCAGGCAGGAAGCACGGAGAACAGGAGTCCTCCAAGAACCCAGAAATGGCCTGTCACAGCTCCAGCAGCTTCCTCCCGGCAGCCGACGACACGGCCACCTCATCTGAGTCAAAATTCCCCTCTCCACACCACAAGCCAGTCATGGGTGAGCCTGGGAGAGGCAAAGGCACCTTTCTGCACAGTGAAAATAGTGCTTTTGAGTCATGGAATGCCCACCAACCAAAGCTGCTGGAGAGAAAGGACGTGGCTGGAACCGTCCCAGAAAGCAAAGCTCCCAAGCACTATGGGGACACGACCTTGCTAAGTGAACCCCGTCCTCCTGAGTGCACAGTCTCTCCCTGCCAGGTTCAGGCCTGCCACAGTCAGGAAGAGAACAGACTCACAGCAGGGGCTCTGTCCACATCCGTACCCTGGGGGTGCAGGGATCCAGGATCCCAGGTATTTGCTGTGGAAGGAAAAGCTCCCAGCTCACAGCCTGATTCTCAAGAGAAGCCAGCCCAGCCCCCATGGAGGAAGCCAAAGACTGGCAAAAAAGGGAAAGAAAGTCTACAAGATACCTCGGAAGAAAAGACACAGACCAAAAGGAGAGGCCCACCTTTGTATACAAAACACAACCCCCAGGGACAGTTTCCAGAAAATGATGCTCTTGACCTGCCTGTGGAACCCAATGAACATTATGATCCCCCCTTTAACATCAGTAAGCTCCTGACCCCCATCATACCCAGCAAGCACACCCTGGATTCAGCAGAGAGCCAGCCGGCAGAGCAAACCCCATCACCCCCGGGACAGCTAAACGGATACCAAGAGAAGGAGCCCAGTGAATGTCAGTCTCGAGACAGCTACAAGTCCAAAGCCCCTAGCCTGCTGTTTAACCTCAAGGACGTGCGGAAGCGTGTTAAGAGCACATACAGTTCCTCACCTCTCTTGAAAGGGCTTGATGAGAAAACTAGAGGTAAGGTTGATGGAAAGCAAGAACCTGTGAGCAACGGTGTCATCCTACCCAATGGGCTTGAGGAAAGCCCTCCAAACGAGCTTTCTAAGGAGAGACCCGCTGATGACCCCACTGCATCACACATCAATCCCCAGAAGGTCCCTACAGCTGACCCCAGTGAGCCCTCTGCAGACAGCTATCTAACTGTTAGCACAGCTTCGACTATCACCAAAGTTCCCTTCTATGTTAACGGGGAGGCTGCTGAGAGGAGCAGTTATGAGAATGACGAGGTGGAAGGCGAGTTGGAGATGGGTCCTGCCAGATCCGGCTGGTGTCCAGACTCCAGGGAACACCGCCCCAGGAAACACCTCTCCCTCAGGCTTTGCAGTAGGGATCCTGAGCCTGGAAGGGCTACAGAGAAAATGAAGACTCACCAGCTAGAGAATGGGCTCTCCAGATCTGTGTCCCAAGAGACAGAACCTGAGAGGGAGGCAGGACTTCAGAACACACACTTGAACCAGAAATTATCCCCAGGGCCCCTCTCTCCTGAGGAGGAAGATGTGTTTTACAGTGACAGCCAATCCGATTTTATGCCAAGCCTCAAGGGTAAGGCCAAATTCAGCACCAGCTCTTCAGATCAATCCTTTGCCTCATTTGATGATCAGCAGAAGACGTGGTTTACTGAGAACCAGCGGGAAGACAGGAGGAAGGATGTGAGTGCAGGTGACAGTCAGAAGGATGAGAAGGAGAACGTGGTGGGGAAGGATGAGCCGCAGTACTGCGCCTTAAGCAATGGGCACGCACGCCTGGAAGACGGCAGCCAGTGGGAAGCATTGCAAAGAGAAGGGGAAAGTGTGCCTGGAGGAAGAACCAGGAAGGCATCGGCAGAGGAAGCTAATTTCAGAGGCTCTCGGATTGGGGAAAATAAGAGTACGACCTTTTCACAGGCCAAAGACCTTACTCCCTCACCATCTTCTGCTTCAAACAGGCACATACTGTTTACCATTAAAGACAACACTCTCAGAGCCACCCCTGTAATTAAACCTATCATGCTGCCTCTCCTGAGGACCATGTCCTCGGAGGACTCCCTCAGCAGTGGCCACAAAGAGGAGGAATTGCCAAGGCCAGAATGGGGTGAGGATCCTGGTTTCTGTGCCCCCGAAAACCAGGACATTCTTGGTACATCGACACCCACTAACACGCTGAGCACACGTGTGAAGTGCATGGCCAACGAGGTCATGGAGGACCCCAGGCAGGGGTCCAGCATGGTCAGGATGGAGGCCTCTCAGCCAGCCCCAAAGGGGAATTTCCCATCTATGCCTCTGGTGGGAGAGGGGGACAGGGTGAAGCCACCACCAGATGCTGCACATGGCCTCATGGCAAGCAATTGCAAGAGCAGCTCTGCAGACTCAGGGAAGCCAGCGGCCCCACGGCACATTCCCACCATCACTTTACCCGAGAGCGACATAGAAGACCAGTCACCCCCATGGCAGCCTGAAACCTGTTGGGAAGAGCAGACACCAGGTTTCAAGAGTCACTTTTTGTCCACACCTAGAACAGGGCCCCCTGGCAGAAGACCGGTCCCCGGTGAAATGGCAAATTCCCCTAACCCCAGCTCCCCGGGGGAGAGCAGTGCGTGCTCCCCTGTTGCCAGCAGCATGTGGGAGGAGGCTTCCCAGGCCCCTGGAGGACCAGAGCTGCTGCCCGAGGAGCCTCCTCAAGCCAGCCCCTGGGCCAGCTCCAGTCCTGCCAGGGTCACCAGGAGGGAGGACCTGACCCACGCCCTCGTGTGGGAGGGTGGCTCCGACCCCCTACTTGAGCTGTCGGCAGAAGACCTCCGAACCCTCTCTCCAAGAGGTTCATTGCTGGATGTGGCTACCAGCCCAGCAGGCACCCCTGGGAGACTTGAGCTTCCTGCACAGCTAGAGAGGGCAGCAAGCAAGCCACCTGCAGTTCCACCCAAAACAGAGAAAGCCCTGCGGCGGGCGAAGAAGCTGGCAAGTAAGAGGAGGAAGACCGACCAGGCTCAGGAGAAGCACGGCGAGTCACAAGAGGGAAAACCCTGCCCAGAGGACTTGGAGCAGACACAGCAAAGGCCACTGTGCCCCAGAGAGAGGCTCCGACACAGTTTCCCTGTGGTCCGTTCCCTGCCCCCTCCCGTGCACCGCCACTCCGTGTCCGGCTTCTCAGAGCCTGTCGGGAGGCAGCCCGGAGGCCCCCAGTCCCTCACACCCCTGCCTGCCTACCCCGCCACCCAGAAGGTCCTCCAGGATCCGCAGTCCGGGGAGTACTTTGTCTTCGACTTGCCACTCCAGGTGAAAATCAAGACCTTCTATGACCCAGAGACGGGCAAGTATGTCAAGGTCTCCATCCCGTCCTCCGAGGGGGCCTCCCCAGAGCCGACCCCACCAGATGCCCTGGCCGCTCCCTATGTGCTGTACCCCGGCTTCCAGCCAGTGCCTGTGACGGCCTTGATGCCACTGCGCTGCTCCTCTCAGCTCTCCGCACCCACCTTCCTCAGGCAAGGCCCTCGTGCCTCCACGGCCCGTGCCAGGCCCCAGAGTGTCCACGAGTCTGGACTACAGCTGGCCTCAGGGCCTCATGGTGACTGCACCCCGCACTCCGCAGGCCAGCGCCCCCATGGGCCTCCCCAGAGCCCAGAAGAGGAGGGTGCAGAAGCTCCAGGTCTGGGGATCATCTCCACCGATGACCTAGAGGACTTTGCCACAGAAGGCATTTCTTGAGTTACCGCAGGCTGAGCCCCACCCCCAGATGAACCCAGAGGAGCTTACTTCCCCCTCTCCCAAAACAAGCAACACACACACACACACACACATATGCAGACACATGCACACGCACACACATACACACAAACACACACACACACACACACACACACACACACGATCGTCAACACATGGCCTTTTTAGATCCGTAAAATCCAGAAGGCAGTAGGGATCCCAAGACAACCTCACCCGAAGGGCTCCCTGTCTCTCCTCTGATGGAGGGGCGCTGCTTGCTTGGCCCAGTCCCCTCCGTGCCAGTTCCCAGGTGCACTCTACTCCAGCCCTTCTCCATCCCTTCCTTCCTCCCTCTCCTGGCCTGCCCTGCTCTTCCCTGGCCCTGCCAACCAGGTGGGTGTGGCAAGGGCACCACCTGGTCCCAAGGGTCCCTCTGCACCTGCACCCACCCACTCACTTGTAGGCTCCTTGATGAGCAAACCCGTGAGGCCCCCAGCTCAGACTCAGCAGCCATTTCAGGTCACCTCAGGCAAACTGGCTAAGGACCAGCGCAGGGCAATTTTGCAGAAATGATCATTTGCATAGAATGGGTTTCCTTCACAGGGAGAAACTTGCCTCTGAAAGCTATTTTCTGATCAAGAAAAGGCCCACTTTTTAAAAAGTGAAACAAGTTTGCAGATACGGTTGTGTCCCTGGACTCCTGTCTTCCTTCTGTGGGCAGTGGGGGTCGGGACTGACAGAGCCACCTCCCTGTCTACCACAGTCTGGTGTCCCACCTTGTCCCTCCAACACCTGTCCATGCCTTTGCAGGGCCAGGCCCTCCAGTAGGTCCTGACTGCCCCAATTTAGTGACCAGTACCTGTGCCCTCCACTTAAAAAGAAAGTGTGTTCACCCCCTCACCCCCTGTCGGTTCCTGACCTTTGGGGATTTGGAGGGAAGTGTCGGGATTCACTCAAGAGTTTGAGTTTTACCTAACGAAACAGGTCCACTGGCCCAGCACAGTAAAGCCAAAATCCACACTGAGGTTTGCAGTGGGAGAAAGGAAGGTGTTTATTTGCAGGGCACCAAGCAAGGAGAATCAGGTAGCTCACGCTTAAAACCTGACCTCCCCCGTGGCTTGCAAGCATGAATTTTTTAATGGCAAGGGAAATTTTCAGGAAAGCCGAAGTAGATGAAATTGTAAATCAACGCATGGAGGGTACACCTTGGTTTGGCATAAAAAGGCAGGATATCTTGAACCAGGGACTTATGGGTCATAGGGTGGAATCAAACATTTTCTGAATTGCAATTGGTTAAGGAAGAGAAGCTTTGTTTTAAAATTTGGGTTAGCAGAAAGGAATGTTAGCTCTAGCTTGTGGGTGGGACTTCCCCCAGGTCCCCCAGGAAGAAATTTAGAACAAAGAGCCGTTCTCAGAGTTCAGTCCTCAGCTCCCTCTTCTCTGAGGTCTCTGTGCTAGTGGATCCGTTTGGTGGGGGTCTAGGTTTCTGAAAAACATCTCAGAGTCACGAGTTCAGATGTTCTCTTTAATTTCCAGAGGGAACCAAACACCCCAGGACTCTGGCTTCCTTCGCTGTTGTTTTAGGTTACTATTACCTTCCTGCTTATCAAGTTGCTCTTTTGCTTCTCAGGGCTAGCTAGGTGCCTGGAATTTCCCTTGAAAGAAGCCAAGATTTTCGTGTATTTCCATGGTTGGGGAGGGGTCCTTGCTCGATCTTAAGATCAGGTGCCCTCTGGCAGGCAGCTGGCTAGGAAGCAAAACCAGCACCCAGGGTCCTGATAGGTTTCCACACCATGGCTTCTACAGAAGCCTCTTAATGCTTGTTCTACTGGAAACACAGGGGCAAAACGTGCTTCCCTCTTTGTTTAGAAACCTCAGCAGCTGCCAGGACTGTGCTGCCCAGGGCGCAGGGGACCATGCAAGATGCATCGTCCTTGTCCTGTTGGCAAAGGCACCGTTTCCACACTGGAAGGATGAGGAGGCATTCAGTAAACCAAGTCCCAGACTCACACAAATACAGGGGCTTTGAGCACAGTTCAGGTCATGATTTGGATTCGAGATTTTATATCTTTTTGTTTTCCCAACAAGTGCAGCCACACCTGATTTTCATTGTGAAAATACCACACAATGCCCCCTCCTTTCCCCCCAGCCAATGCCATTCAATTTGGCCACACCTGTTGCCAGCCAGGCAACCAGCCAGGAGTGCAGGCAGACCACTATCCCAAAATCTGGTTCACATGAGTCACTCACTGGGTGCAAGAGACAAGAACAAAGTTGCATTTTGACCCTGGCTCCAAATCACCTCAAGCATCCTCTCCACTTTGTTTTCATCTCACTAAAATATGAGAAGGAATAACTCATTTTGCAATTCTCAGGACCCGAGGAAAAGAATTATCTAACAAAGGAAGAGTCCCTCCATTCAATAAGAACCACACTTATAGTAACTATGTCCCCACAGGAGAAAATATTACTTTGGGGAACTCATTTTGGGGAAGCAATCTTCTTCCTTAGAACTGATATTGGCAAGACTGTGGGTAGAACTGAACACATAAAGACTTGCTCCCAGCAAGTCAGCTAGAAGGACTCCTCACTCCCTTACAGCAATGGGCCTGTGTTCCTGAAGCGGATAATGCCTCCAGAGAACACAAGCAGAGAGTCTCCATCCAGTGAAGCCCAACTCACTAGCCAGTGATGTTTTCCTCTTTCCATTTGCTTCTGAGGGAGGTCATGTATGCCTCCTTCCTTCCTCACTCCCTCCTTCTCTTTCTCCCTTCTTTGTTTCCCTCCCTCTCCCCTTCTCTCTCTTCCTTTCTTCTTTCCTCCCTCCTTTTTACAAACATTTGCACTGTGCCAGGCACTTTGATGGGTGCTGATGGTACCATGACAATAAGATCTGGTCTCTGCATTCAAGGAGTTAAAATCTAACAGAGAAGAAAGACAATTACAATCCCACATGTTAAGTAATTTAATAGAGTGCTCTGAGGAACACCTAACTTGCTCTGGCTCCAGGAGTTGGCACCTGAGCCAAGCCAAGAAACACAAAGCTGTCCGTTAATTTATGAAAAAAATTCAGAATATCCCCAGCTTTAATCTATCAAAGATGACATTGATTAAATACTAATAGATTTGTCTTGCCATGTCAAAGTGTATTAATTTAGCTAATTGTTCATCAACATTTCTAATCAGCACAAAAGCTGAACCAGTGTGGCCTCACAGGATAGACCTTTGTTGATATGTCCTTCAGCTTCTGAATTGATATTTCACTCACAGGGGTTGCCCAGCAAAACCACTATTTCTGCCATTGTGTTTAGTAGGACAGTGGTGAGATTTATGAGAACATGTTGTTTGTGAAAATTACCGATGTTGTCTGCATCTTCTGTGTAGTGCCCTGGCCCTTTTCTATGAGTATGACCCCTCTAACTGTCTCCTGGGGAGAGGACATGGAGGTGGAGCACCTCCAGGGAACAGTTGAAGGTAAACATGACCAAGGGCTCACATCGTCAAGCATGTACCATGCACTGGCCCATGAGTGGGGAGCTTGAACCTGGACTCGGTCCTCCCAGCAAACCCATGAGAGATGCCCTCATTAGCCACATTTTACTGTAAAGGAAACAAAGGTGCCAGGATGGGATTTAACTGCCCACGGTCACAGAGCCACTAAGTGAGGGGCCACACCAGGGACTTGGGCCCCTCTTACTTCTAAGTGGACTTTTCAATGCTCAGCCAGTAAATGTGGTCCCCGGAGCAGCAGCCTCCACATCACCAGGGGCTTGTGAGAAGTCCAGAATCCGTATCTCCATCTTCACAAGCTTCCCTGGGTGGTTGATCCATTTGTGCATTGAATTCTACATGCTGTCAGCCACTGGTTAGCCTGGATAAATTTTAGGGAGGTGCATTGGATGTCTTCATGTCTCCACAGCAGATGTCTTGTGCAAAGAAAGAGAGTAGCACATCTAGGTGGGGGAGTTGCAGGGAGCTGATTGACACTCAATGTGAAGAAGGCATCTCTGAGGACGAGCATCATCTTTTTTTTTTTTTTTTAGACAGAGTCTCGCTGTGTTGCCCAGGCTGGAGTACAGTGGCATGATTTCAGCTCACTGCAACCTCCGCCTCCTGGATTCAAGCAATTATCCTGCCTCAGCTTCCGGAGTAGTTGAGATTACAGGTGCGCACTACCGCACCTGGCTAATTTTTGTATTTTTAGAAGTGATGAGGTTTTGCCATATTGCCAAGCTGGTCTTGAACTCCTGACTCAAGTGATCCACCCACATTGGCTGCCCTAAGTACTGGAATTACAAGCATGAGCCACCACATCCAGCCACTAGCATCGTCTTGATATTACGTCAACCACTAGGGATAGCTGAGCTCCCTACCAATGGAAATGTACAATGGAAGCTGATGACCCCTTTCCTAAGACAAGGATGGATTCAGATATCAGAAGGGACCTAACTATCTTTTGGGACCCCAGGCTACTTTTGGGGCTCCAGTATGCCAGTGGCAAGGATGCAAGGTCTCAACGGGAAGTGGCCATAGGCACACGATGTAAAACATTTGCATACAAAAGGGGAGCTCTGTGGCAAAACCTGAACTCTGTGTGTGTAGGAAACATTTTGGCCCAGATACACCATGAAGTTGGATACACCTGTCTGTACAGGTTTTCCAAATCATTCAGATGTGAAGTCCAAAATGAGTGAGCAAACTCGGAGCCACATCCCCGAGCTGTCACCACCAGAGTCTTGTTTAGGCTTCCTCAGTGTCACCTCACAGAGCCACCTGAGGAGTGGGCTCTTCCCCTTCCACCAGGTGGAAGAGTGGGCTCCTCCCTTAGCTGCTGGCTCCCAGCAGAATGCTCCAGCCTACCTGGGCCTCAGAATCATCTGTGCACTTATTAACACTTGTTATTATCCCAGCCCTATTTCCAGTTCACCTCATCAGATTCTCCAAGTGTGGGAAAGAGTCACTGTAGAGGTGCAAGTTCCTGAGAGGTTCTGGTTCACCCAGTCTCACAAATGCCACTCCAGAGCACAGTTCCACACCTGGACCCCACATACTGGCCAGGCACTGCCAG